GGGATTGTGAGCGCAGTTTTCCAGGCGCATCTCGGGTGTTGCGGGGTCTGCGTTCCCACAGGGGGGCTAGGCGTCGGTCCTTCGGGGGAGAGGAGGTAGAAGTTGACGGGGGTGCTTCTTCGGAGATCGTCGGGAGCGACAGTTGCAGCTGTTCCAGGAGGGGCCCTGCTTCTTCAGGGGAGGAGAAGGAGTATGACCTGCTGTCGTGGGTGAAGGTGGCCTTCAACGGGAACCCCCATTTATAGTTGATGGCATGGCGTTGTAGAGTGGTGAGGAAGGGCCTCAAAGCTTTTCGTTTCAGGAGAGTTTGCGGCGCCAGCTCTGCGTATATCTGGTACTCACAGTCCTGGAAGCGCAGGGTGCGTTGTTTCCATGCGGTGTGTGCGATAGCTTCCTTTGTTTTATAGAAGGTGGGCTTGAGTATGATGTCGCGGGGGGCCCATTAACCCTCTTTGGGCCCAGGGCGCGATGCACACGGTCCAGTTGGAGGCGTTCCAGTGGGTAGCCCGGGAGTAGTTCCTGGAACATGGCCGTGATGGTGGATGTCAAAATGCCGGCCGGCGAGGCCGGAGCGGCCGCCATCTTGGACTCAGGCCGCGATTTTGAGGAGCCCGGCGTCTTCTGCTGGGACCGGGCCGGCGGTTGATTTTTGCCCATGGTGGTGCCGGAGGGTCTAGGGGGTCAGGCGGTAAGGTCGGGTGTAGGAAGGAGAGGAGATGATCAGGTGCAAAATTGATCACACGCCCGGGTGATGCGGAGCCGTTTTAGCAGACGTCTATGCTAATCGGCTGCTCGCTAGCGCCCCACCCCCCCCGTCCTCCTGTTTTTCATCTTATTGATGGAGTCCCTTATCAGATCAAATCAATTGCTCCCCACACTTTACAGTGGTCAGAGTGGGTTTGATCCCCTCTTATTGTATAGAAAAAATGTACAACATAACTGGTAGATTGACTGGCCAAACTCATCCCTTCACACCACAAACCTACCTGCAACATGACACCGAGACCCCCAATAGGCCCATAGAAAAGGTCTCTAACCATCCACCTACTTAAAGGAGAACTATGGGGTTAAGTCTTTTCCCCATAGTTCTCCCTAATCAAAACTCTCATCCTAAGTCACTGGAAGAGCACAACATCCCATACCATCACTGAATGACGTTGTGGAATTAATCAAGTAGTGTAGATGGAGGAAGTCTGAGCTATTGCAAACAATACTCTTAGTTGTTATTCAAATCTCTTACTATACTTGACCAAATCTATTGATGGCTTACTACTCCTGCCTTTGGCTGCACTTTCTTATGAGAACTTGGGACTGGAGTGTTTGAATGGACCTGGGAGATTAACTACATACTCTGATGCATTTAGCCTCCTTGATATTACACTTTACCTTACCCCTCCCCCCCACATAGTCTTATATTACTACGTACCAGCCTTTTTCCTCTCTGCCTCTGTCCATATTCTCTATTCTCCTGCTAATCTACCACATTTCTAAACACACTACAATGTGTTCTAAAAATTACGGTAAACAATAACACAACAACATGTGTCACTCATACCTGATCATACAGCCTCAACTGGTCTGAATAAAGTTTTCACCAGCTTGATGCTTCCTCTAGATTTAACAGGCACTAGCTCTCAGACGTACTTTTTCTATCTGCTGTTCACATTTAGATCATTATTCCTGCAAATGAACTGGGTTTGCAAAAAATAAAATACTTAACACTAGCACTGCATTAAAAGGCATGTACACAAATGCTAGAAGTCTAGCAAACAAAATGGAGGAGCTAGAACATCTGTTACTCGCAAAGGACTTTGATTTTGTGGGAGTATCGAAAACCTGGTTGGACAGCTCACATAACTGAACTGCAAATAGCCCAGGGTACATTCTATTCCAGTGGAACAAATTCAGTTGAAGGGAGGGGGAAGGGTATGTCAAGAGCAGTCAAAAAGTGAATGTAAGATATGATATCACAAATGTAAACAGATTGTGGGTGTCTGCTATAGGCCCCCTAGCAAAGTATGGAAGGGGGACTGAGATTAGAATATTATAAATGCCCATTCTTTGCTGGTTCTCTGTAAACTGAAAAGAAAAGATGAAAGAAAAATAGACAACCCTGTGTCAAAAGTTGTCAATACTTCTCAAATACTTTAATGCCGTTTATTGCAAACATTGCCTTGATACAGTTTCATAAGCCCTATCCACACTGTTTTTATAAAAAAATTAAAAAAAACATTTTTATTATTAAATCAAATTAAAAATTACAATTAAACTGATCATACACTTGTTAATACAAAACACCAGAGGGTTGTCAAGATATTGCCCACAGTAAGGCACTAAACCTATACTTTCACCTCAAGCAACTTGAATGGCAAGACCTTATCCATAAGGGTATAACAAATATTTACAAATTAGAACTCTTCCTCGATCTAAATGTTTTATACCTTCTTAAATAAGGGCAATTTTATAAGTGATCACAAGTTTAAACGCAAAAGTATCTCAGTATTCTATACACTTTTAAATAGGAATCTAACTATGAACAAACTAAGTACACTTCAATCAGAGCTGAGCCATCACATTTCTAAAGTTCAGCGGAAAGTGCCATCTCCTGGGCAAATCAATCTACACATTGAGGCCTTAGAATGTGGTATATATATTTATGTTGCCGTATTCTGTGTTTGCCATATTCAAAAATTCTCTGTCCTGGTTGGAGGACCGTACTTACTGGAAAAGGAGGCTCTGGAGTTTTTGGAAGTGCCAGGAGAAAAGATAGAGGCTCTGAAGACAGGAAGAGTATGAATCAGGATAGATACACTATTGGTAAGGGTGTGATGGGTCTAAGAAGCACCAGGTATTCACCAGAGCTACCTGCATGGACAGATGGGCTTTGCTGTAGGACAGCTCCTAGGTTGCAGTCTTCGGATATACCCATGCAGGCACAGCGGTCAGAATATTGTTGAGGGTGCGAGATCACTAGGAAAATGGGTAGCAGTAGCAAAAGTCACTAGTAGCACAAGTGCTTGGAATGCCTAGGCTCAAGTGAAGTGAGACAGTTGCAGCTCTAAGATTTAGGACTCAATGGTTCACAGAGGAGAAAGTCTGTTATAGCACTGTGGTTCAGGATTCACTGGCTCACAGAGGTGAAAGTCTGTTAGAGCACTGAGCTTCAGGGTTCACTAACTCACAGTAGAAAAAAACTGTAAAAAGTAACTGAGGTTCAGGATACACAAAACAGACTGATGACTGACAAAAGGAGCAGGCTCACTAGGAGAGTGCAGGGCACACAAGAACAGAACCGGTGGACCTCACAGAGTACTGAGGTGCGGTGATGCAGGGAGCTAAGACAAGCACATTGGTGAAAGAGACTGTAGCTCCCTTGGAGCATGAAACACAATGCAGGTATTTAGGGAGTCTTTCATAGTGAACAGTGCACAGAAGTACAGGCATGCAAGGAGTCTCTTTAAATAACCACAGGAACACACTAGCAGCACAAAGAACTCCAGAGGAGACAATGGAAACAGTAATGTAGGTAGAAAGGACAGATCACAGGGACCCTCGGAAAGGAAGATGCAAGCTTCGGGAGTTACAGTGGCATTTTTCCTATTTTGTTGAAATACCAGCTGAAATTAAAATGCATGTTTATTTGGATTACATGTAATGGGCAAACACAAAATAGTCCAAAATGGTAAAGCGAAATCAAGAAAATAACTTGTTTAAAAAAATTATTAAAAATAAAAAAAGTGGTGCGTGCATATGTATTCACCCCATTTGCTATGAAGCCACATATAAGATCTGGTGCAACCAATTAACTTTAGACGTTACATAATTAGTTAAATAAAGACCACCTGTGTGCAATGCAAGTGTCACATGATCTCAGTATATATACACATCTGGTCTGAAAGGGCCCATAGGATAGAAACCCTATCAGGTACATATACCTGACGAGTACACATCCATATCAGTCCTTGCCTTCAAGGAGCTTACAATCCAAGGTCCCTATTGCATACACATACAAGGGCCAATTTAGACAGGAACCAATTAACCTTCCAGCTGCAAAGGACAAGGAGGCACTCTTTGTGTCTGGAGGAAAAGAGGTTTAACCTTTGCATACGTAAAGGATTCTTCACCGTTGTAGCTGTGAAAATGTGGAACAGACTCCCCCAGGAGCTAGTTCTAGCTAGCTCAGTTAATTGTTTAAAAAAAAAAATCTGGATGTATTCCTAAATGCACAGAATATTACTGGATATTGAGTTCTCATAAGTATATTAAGCATCAGAGATTGTTGATCCAGGGAATATCCGATTGCCTTATGGGATCAGGAAGGAATTTTTTTCCGGTTGGAGCAAATTGAACCATGCTTTATAGGTTTTTTTTTGCCTTCCTCTGGATCAACAGTGGGTAATTGAGGGCATAGCGTTCAGTTTAAGCTTTTTTTTTTTTCATATCTCTATAGGTTGAACTCGATAGACATGTGTCTTTTTTTCAACCCGACTAACTATGTCTCTGGAGTGTAGGAGGAAACCGGAGTACCCGGAGGAAACCCAGGGAAGCACAGGGAGAACATGAAAACTCCTTGCAGATAGTGTCCTGACAGGGATATGAACCATGGCCCCACCAGTGCTGCAGGCCAGAAGTGCTAACCACTACTTCACTGTGTATTTTACACAGCAAAATAGAAGATTGATGGCAGAAAAAGGCTAAGTGGTCCACTGAATTTGCCCCCCCCAATATAGTATATGAGGGTTGGGAGTAAACAAGTGGAGGGTTGGTGGGTTATAGGAAAAGTTAGCGTGTGGGTTGCGGTGGTGTGATAACAGGGAATGTTAGTGTGGGGGATGTTTCAGGGAGGTTTACAATTACAGGTAGGGTCAGATTAAAGAGGTCTTGGGGCAAAGCATTACTTTCAATGCCAGCAGGGATAGACCAAAAACTTCCAGTGACAAGCTCCTAGGCATGAAAACTGGTATAATACATTAAAGCATAAAAAATAAGAATAATGATACCTGGGAATGTCCGAGTCCTTTGTCTGAATTACAGAAAGATTGATCTGTTTTTGTCCTGGAATAGGAGGAAGGTCAGCACCATAGGTAACAGCATAGGTTTTATAATTTACGTCTCCTGAGTTTGGTTGTGGTCTGCTTTCCCATGACGGTCTTACATACTCATACAGCCCCTGCAGAAGATATATAAGGCAAGGTTTTTAATCTGTTCAATGGATCTTCAGAAACCATCTGCCAGAGCTGTTTTCTAGAGTGCACAGACATGGGATTATCTATTCTCATTGGCCAAAATCAGATGGATGAAACCCTGACATCTATAGTCAACTAAGATGAGCTGCATATCTGGTAAAAATGGTTACTTCAGATAAGAATATAGATAACACTTAATGTGCCAATAAATGGGAAGATACCTCACTTAGAATAACAGATGGGAAGATATCTGTCCTGGAAACAACGTCCAGCAGCGCATCAATTCTCATCCAATGGGAACAGTGACACACTGTATATGGGTTACTGTGATTCTTCCATCTTCTTTATAACATAGGAAATCTCTTGTGCAACAACAAGGGTCTTCAACCCCTGGTTCATTAGCTAACCCTAAAGAAGGGTAATGGCAGCCTAATCATTGAAAACAATACTCCTGAATACTGGACTGTATATCTTAAAACGATGGAGATTCAGCTGCCCTGTATGAAAAATTCAAGATGTTTTTCTATTGTTCGAACATGAAAGAACAAACATGAAATCAAAATCTGCAAAAATGACACCAGCAAATATGATATCTACACAAAAGACAAACATTTACAACAAACAATACATTTAAAAGAGAACTATGGCCCAACCTATTTTTGCCATAGTCTTCCTGTGACCCAAAACTTGGCATATAGCTGGCTATTGCCTGCTATATGCTGACAGTGCAGAGCTGCGCTGCAGCCGGGACGTATCTCAACAATATTGTCAGTATCCACCCCACTGCCTGATTGACAACTGGCTCTGCCTCTCTAGAGGCAGAGCCAGCTGTGCCCACCCGTCTGTCCCTTCAGTCAACACTGGTGAAATGGAGAGAGAAAGGGGAAATCCCTGTGGGGAGCGGTGATTGACTGTCACCCCTCTCTACAGGGAGAAGATTGGGAACTCAATGATCAGCGGTATGTGATTGCTCAGTTCCCAATCAATAGAGCCGACGTGTGACAGCTTCAGTGTCACATGTCGGCTCTAATTATAGGGATGAGTGTATTTCCCTCTCCCCATAATTCTCCTTTAAGATATAGTTTGTCAAATTTGATTTCTCTGTAAGTAACTAAATAAAAAACTGCATGTGTTTAGTGTGGCAAATGCTCTGTTTTTAACCTGTGCCAGTCTAATAACTGTCTTTTGCTGCAAAGCCATAATAGTAGACACCATTTAGAAAATACACAGGCTGGGCTTATGAAGACTACCTTGGAATGTGGTGCAAAAGAGGGAATTCAAGTTTCCATGTGCTGGACATTCATAATATTGCATGCAGACATAAGCATTCCAGCACTTATTGCTTTATTTATGGCCAGCCAAGGGAGGAAAAGGGGGG